GGTCTGGCGAATATGTGACCAGTGACCATCAATTGTCTCCAGTGAGCGATTACTCAACTCGCATGTCAGCGTACTTCGATACACATTCAGAACAGCTGGCTTTGTCAGTTGGCTGGTGTCAATGCGCTCACAGCGTCGTCGTGCGCGTCCGCCAAAGCGCATCCGCATGTCAGCACATACAAGTGCATGATCAGTGTCCACACATGTGCTCCAAATCGAGCGACAATTCTGGATGCAGCCTCTCCATCGGTAACTGATAGCAATGTGATCGATCTGCGTCCAAGGCTGGTTCGAGGCTGGTGGGCGCCAAGTCACCCTCCGGCGGGTGATGTGTCGGACGTTAGTGCTCGCAAGAAATAAGCGAGCACCTTCACACAAATGAAGTAACCGCTCACCGTTATCATTACGGGAGCCTACACCGTGCTGACCGCCCAGATGCATTTCATCAGTGGACAACTTCCCAACTTGTGCGTTCAGATCCCCAGCCAGCACAACAGTGTCCGTGCTTCTTCTGTGGCGAAGGAGCTGGGTCAGTTGGCGGTATAAGTCGTTCTTTACCGAATCATCGCTACAGTTTGTGGGCGCGTAGGCAGCGATGACGAATAGACACCTATTAGTCCCGCGCGACTTCCAAGCTTTAAACGAGCCAGCCAATCGGACCGCACACATAAGGCTACTGATTGGAATCCAATCCACCAGAACAGCTTCAGCCAGGGGACTCAGGGCAATGCCAACACCAGCTTGGTCGGTGCTCGAAGCTGCATCATCACCGGATAGGCGCACTGAGAAATTACTGTTTGCGTCACCTGAAGGGGATCGCAGGCGGGTCTCTGATAAGCAGCAGATATCGATCGAGAGGGTCTCCAATGTTCGGGCAAGTGCTGCCTGTTGACCGATCTGTAGTAATGTGCGTACATTGAGGCATGCCAATCTGAAGCAGGATCGAGGGCTCCAAATGCAAGTCAATGAACTGGAATGAACCGCTTGGTTGGACATGGGCTTGTCGACAGGAGAGGAGTGACGGTCCGCGTTCACATGTGAGTTGAAATTAGAAGATAAATGCCTAGCAAAGCATGTTGGGGGAGGGCCAAGAATCGGGGGGTTGAAAACTAGGGGGATCTAAGTGAAGTTGACACGGGACGGTAAGAGTGAAAAAGCGTAAGATGGGGAATAAGAAGACGGGAAGGCTTGAGCAGTAGCATCCAAACCCCTATCCACCCTGCCCGATGCAGCAGATAGGGCACCGTTGATTATCCTCTGCAGTGGCCAGAGCATCAGCAATTTGTTTGAGATAAGATTCATGGTATTGCGTGGGCAGGATACTGTCAGGTTGCCCAGGCCTAGACAGGAGAACGATTAGGGTTCTCAACCAAAGCCTTTGGTTCAAAAACCTGTCCGAAAGGCAGCGGATTTGGCGGTGGGCTACAGGGAGTCCGTTTTAAGGAATAAGGTGTCACCCTCATTCCAACCCCCAACCTGGAGGACCAGAAGGCTGAGTTTGTCTGGCCTCTAACCATTGACCAATCTGGTATGAGTGATTCTGAAGGTGCAAAATCACCACCCAGTATAGCTCAATGGATCACTGAGGCACACAAACCATCGCACCACGGTAAGGTCCAGCCTCATTGCGATGGCAACGCCTGATAGAGGATATCTGTTAGCCGCGTATTTGACTACGAATTAGTTCTACGATGAGTTATATTGGCCGTGTTGGTACCAACTGTGCTATCATGAGTCACAGTAAAGATTAGAGAGGGGAGCAAACGAAACGATATAAGTTTACCATAATAAACTAAGTGAACGGGAGTGAAACCGATAGGGCTAGTCGGGCATGTGGTTGTCCTGTATGAGGATATGGTAAACAGGAATGATAGAAAGCTTATAATGGGTCGAAATGAAATGTTACTGTTATGCCAAGAAAACGATTAAAGGCAGGTATGCAAGTTGACGAAATGAGGCATGAGATGTGGTTAATGTTCGCTACAGCAAAGCCCCTACATCGGGCCAACAAGAGGTTCAGTCTGGGTTGGCGAAGAGAAAGTAGGCCCAGTCTGCGGTTTAGTGAAGAGTCCCATGTGAAGAGCACAATAGTTGATAGCTAGGTTATGGCCCAAAATAGACCAATAATAGGCCTGATATTCAGTGTAATAAAAAAGTGTGGATTACATAGATGGTGGCTATCGCTGTGACTAAGAGGTTACGATGTACGGACATACTTTTATAGAGTGCCTCGTGAGGGATGCATGCGAAGGTGAGTGGGTCGAAAGTAAGTTACCAACACAGAATCAACCAATGAAGAAATCGTCTAAGCGTACATCAGGATTGTGCGGTGAAAGAGTTTACATTCATAGTGATGAAAATTATGCCAGCAGAATCAAGAGAAACATAGACAAAGATAAAGCGACAACCTAGAGACGCAGCGCATTGACAAATAAAAAGTGAAATTTTAGAGTGTGCACTTGTAAACAACGGAATAAAATACCTTGCAGAAGAAATAAAAATAAGTATAAAGCAGAGTAACACGTGGCACCTAAACCAGTGAGACAGTGTAAGAAAGCTTCGAATGTGCAAGGAAAGCCCAACTTTTGTTTGTGCCGGAGTACACGGGCGAGATTACCTATAGCGTTTATTACACTGGACGCTAATCGAAGGTGGTAGAAGAAAGCGAAGACAACTACAGATTTGCAGTAGTAGCTCGGTGGTAATTTCTAGGCCGATAGCTCGGACTGGAGATGTGAGTGCGATTGGTCGGCTAACCCTTGTGACGCAAGCATCATCAGCATGGATGTTCCTTCGTGCATGCGGATACGCTGGTGGTCCGAAGTCAACAATGATCAGAAATCTGGAGGTGTTGCAGAGCCCAAGCCGATAGGACAATGGTTTATACCGTGGCCCTGTAGACAAAGCTAAAGTTGTCGCAGAGTTATGGTGGCAATATTGAATTCTCAATACGTGAGCTAGTTATAGAAGTTATACGCCCGTCAATGTTAGCGAAGGTGCCGAGGCAGGCAAAATGATTAATCGCCTCTAGTTCCCCGTCGTTAATTTGTGGTCTTGTAACAATACTATGAAATTTGAAGAAACAAAGTGTGTTAATGAGATCAATCAAGAGCTCGCCGAAAATTTACAGCGCTGCCTTGAGAAGTTTGACCAGCAATACAGATCAGTTGCGTAACCCGATCCAGCCCGCACAGCCCCAAACAGTGCTTTACAAAGGAAATGTGCCATAATGGAAGTAGAAAAATTGGAAAACCCTGCCAAATGCTGATTATTGTTGAAAAGGCGGCCAACAAGCAGAAGATGCAACTTGTGGTTTCCGAGTATACGGTAAAAGACACTTTCGCAGCGAACCAGGGTGAATGGGATGTAATCACATCTATGGTATCCATAAAGGGTATCCAGATATGCTTCAAGACACCACAATAAAAGTATGCGTTTTCCGGAGACACAGTGTAGATGCATAGAAGAGATCGCATAGTAGGAGCGAACGTTAGCCACTGACCGAAAGTTAAAGAACATTGGTGCAGAAAGATAGTGCGAAATGAGATCTTTGGTTGCAAAGACGATTCAAGTAAACTCGTAACACCTGCGGCAAAGCAAAGGGCAGATTCACGCTGACAGAATTTGTAAAAGACCAAAAACACTGGTGACAGGGAGCAGGTGCGATCACACTCTGCGCAACGATCAGGAGTTTATTCGGTGATATGAGGAAGTTAGCAACAAACATTAGCTACGCCGCAAAAGTAGCGGCCACCAATCTACTCTTAGGAGTAGGGACCTACTTTGAGAAGAGTCCGGTATTGGGGGTGCCATCGACAATAGAGATTATCGAAAACACCAGTCGAGAGCTGCGATTCAATGTGTAGCTTCGATTACCAAGTCGTCATGCTCAAAACGACTACCACAGAGGTAAACTACGCGTAGTAAGATTGCAATGGCTGTTGGTAAAAGCACATGACCGCAAGAGACTCTGGATAAAGGTCACTCACATTGAGTTGAAACGGTGATGGTTCGCATGGTTTTAAGCCACACCAGCACACTGCCACATGGGTGTACAGAAGTGCGGATAAAACCTTTAAGGAGAGAACACCCCGCACGGAAGCAGGTTCCCAGGAAACGGTTCCACGAATGCTCGCATTACTTTAATTGAACCTTTGATTCCTTTTCTGCTGCAGCCCTTGCTCTATCTCAATGCAGTGGTCTCCTTCTGAGGTTCTAATGGTGTAACATGACTTTAAAAGGACATGTCTCGTGAAGCCGAGAAGGTATATTTTTAGTATCATTATTATCATTATTGGTAGTAAATGCGAAAAATAGTGAATACCAATCTACTTTCAATAGGTCTCGAGTCAGTGATGAACAAAGATAGGGTCCCTCAACACAGGCTACACCAAGAACTCAACCGCCTGGGGTAGGTAACAGGTGTCGAGTGAATGACAGTTATAGGTCTGTAGTTGCAAAAAACGAACAGCTACCACCTTTCCTAATCTGAAAGTCCTAGAGATCAGCTCGGTCAACAAGGCAACTGCCAGGTCCAGGAACAAGATCAGGATAGAGCAGCGCTGTGTTTGTGGTGCTTCCAAGTAAACATTCCCCGAGCTGGGAAATTAGCACGAACAGATGGAGGAACACTTAAACAAACTCGTTCGAAAAAGACTTTCCCAATGCATTCGCCTTTTAAAGTAATGCATGATACGAAGTTGGTTAACATAGTCGACCAGGAAAAATGCGGATGTCAGTATGAAGTAGCCAAGGGACAGTCGGCAACAAGTAGAGAGTTCAGCACATTCGTACCGTCCAGCAGAACAGACGCAATGTATCAGGTGACTAACGTTGATCGTATAACAAAAGCGAAAGCAAGTGAAAAGCGGTGTAAGCAGAGCGAAGTGTTGGTTTGTCACAAGGAGCACCATCATGCACACAAGAAGTAAAATACCCGCCGGGCTGCGAAACACGACCATCGATAGCCATGCAAAACACAGACGGCCAGGATAACTTACCGAGTACACGCCCCGGGGTACCAACGACGACATGGGCTCCTTTGGACAACTCTTTGGCCATCTGTGCCACATTGCTACGTCCACCGCAACAAGCAACACACCGAATGGGTAGGTAATCTGATAGGGCAGACATGACCTAAAAGTAGGATGAAAGTAGATATTGTGCGCATGCGGAGACTTTGGGATGGCGTCAGGGATGAACATCATTTCATAAAGACGATTATGCTTAGGAAATGTAAGGAAATTTGCATGCTCACAAAGTTCGTTGCACATGTGCATCCGGACACCTGTGTGCGGTAATCGATGGGGTAAAGTAATGTAACCTAGATCTTAGTCGAGCATCAGTTTTATCGTAATGCACAATCAAATCGAATAACTGATAAGCGTGGTCGCATGATTAAGAATTCATTCGAATGCGAATGACCCGCATTCGTTTCAGCTAAGATGACGCAACAACAGGCAGATAAGAAATAGCAGATGCTTCGATTGAATAAGAGCTGCAAGGTCAGATAAGGCAGTGGGTAGAAATAGCACCAGACACAATGTAGTCAAGAGTGAACATGACGTTCATACCTGTAATCTCTTCTCCCGACTGCTAACTTCTATTCTTACATTATTATGCTGGTGACACGAGACTTACTGACTCGTATTTCGTACTTTGAGGTTCTGAAATGATCCAACCTAAGAGTAAAGTGTAGTCAATTTCAACAATTACAGTTATCTGGCTATTATGACCAGACCAAGTAGCGCTAGGGCAAACAAACCAACAGTCGAAGAGCACAGACAACAAGCAGACATAACAGCCCACCCAACTGGATGCTGGTCGCGAATTCTGAAATTCAATTGAATTCACCCGCGAGGTTGAAATCGTTGTTCTGGTCATCTGGACTCAGCATCCATGTAGTTTGGCATGGACCAGCGTTAGGTAAGCCTTCTGACACCGGTGATTTCTTGCCATTGCTTCCAAAAAGACGGAACTATTTTCAGCAGCGATCGGTGTATTCGCACCCTGTAAATAACGAGGGTGCATAGAGTCCGCTTAGACACTCGGTGCCTCTTTTTGAAAAAGGAGCAGATGATGTGAAAAAAGCACCTCATTATAATCAGTGCTCTCAGATAGCTACCAGATATCATACACAAACAAATCACGCATAAATGAAAGAGCCGAACTGATGAGTGCAATATGATTTTCGGTGCACCGGGTGAGCAATAGTCACCTTCATTCACAGAAAAGTAGCCTTTGAGTCATGTAAACGTTTCGTCAAGTGTCGGAAAAGTTCCTTTCTGTTGCAAAAGGTCTGTATTTCATCCCCCAGTTAGATAAAGAGAAACACACTTGATGGGTGACGGATTAGTTCAGATAATAATAATAATAATAATAATAATAATAATAATAAGGATAAAGACCTATGAGCCACTGATACAAGCTGATGTGAATGGGGGTGTTTTACAGCACTTAAGCTCGCATGTATCCGTTGGCGGCTGCGTGAAGAAAGTACAAGATCTAGGCATACTGTTGGTACTGCTAAGCTGAAAGGTTATGCACGAAAGGCCGATCTAAAAAGTTGGATAAAAATAAAGTATCCTATGTTTAGTTAGTTTCTACTTCTCTCTTTAAATTTACTATTTAAAGGTAAAGGAACATCAGAGGCACTCACGTACCGACGTTTCGCTGCCACACGACGATCTGCAGTCGCATGCAAACTACGGTGCTGAGAGGGCGCACACATTCATACGGGAACAAACCGGTGAACTGTGGATTACAAGCCGGACACCTGAACCACTCGGTCACAAGCCGACCAAGTTTACGGTCTAAACAAAACGCTTTGGCTGGTGTAGTCCTGATGCCAAGCGGCAAATTGCGACAAACTTAGAGCAAACACAACTTATATTTAGTCGTAAAGAAATAACTTGACACAGAGTACAGTTCACAAGAACCGGGTGGCGAAATAATTGTCCCGAAGTACAAATAATGTCAAAAATAAAAGGGATAGCATACTTTGGCAGCTGCATTGGTCTTGGTGGCCAAAGCATGTACTGCCGCTGTTAAGCAACTTAACGAAATGGATAAGGCACTTGTCAGAAAGGAAAGTGTAGATATTTATGGTCAGATACTGCCTTAAGGATCACAAGCATGCCTCGCAATCCGAGGGCATGAGTTCGAGCCTGCGTAACGACCAGTCGACCCTAGCAGTATCCTTGGCCCACGTGCGACCCGTGATGGTTGTGCGGCAGCGAAACGTCGGTATCGTGTGTCAGCGTACCGCTGGTGCTTTTTCAGATGGTTAGCAGTGAGCACCTCAACGAACGACGGGAACTCGGGCGACGTGAAGCAGTTAGTGCTTCAAACGTACATCCAAGACATGGTTGGTGTGATGAAGACAACAGAAGAGTACTGCACCTAAGCAGATAGCGCAAACGTAGTCACAACGAGGTCGTGAAACCACCAGGTGTGTGATGTTTGGGTTCACTAGCTGGTGCTTATCGATACACACCGGAGGTTAACAAAGATGGATGATTAACGTCGGCTGAGTCGACTTCTTTTTACAACTGACGAGTGCCTGTGTAGTTGCCTCGAGGAATACTAGCACACACATGCACTGTGAAGGCGTCTGACCCATTGACAGTTTCTGAAACGGTGGATTGACATCTTCCCCATTAATGGGACTATGAGTCGTGAAATTATCATGTTGGTGCACGCGTTACGCCCAAGTGCAAGGTAAACAGAATGGGGGGCAGCGAGTCAGAGGTTGCAAGTAGAAACAGAAAAGGAGAGTTGCTTAGCTAGTACCTGGACCTGAACTCAACAGAGTGATATCGTCAGCACCTTTTGGACCAGCCAGCGGGTGACCACGTTTAGCGGTGCTCGTGTCGAGTGGAACCAGCAGGTCCGCAATGATGAGTTGCTCAGACGAACACTATGCGGTGAGGATCTAGTTAGTCCTTCAGACCAATAAACGAGACTTAGTAAGTCGTCGTGAACGGAATATATGATATATGCATGTTCAACCCTGCCTATGCATGAAACTTCAGTTCAGTTTCCAGGAGATAGGATGGAGAAAAGTTCCAAAGCAACAGCGAGGAAATGATGGGAAATAAAGACCATGGATACTAACCTAGACGCTGTCGGTCGATATGCCTTCTGAATTGCGGGCCGCTTGACCAACAAGCGACACGGCTGATATCGCTTCCTGGCTGGAGTGTCAATCTACGACCGCTACCGCTGAAATGTCGGTGCGATAAAGCTTATTACAACACGGAACAGTGAAAGCGTGAGGGGGCTACTATGCTGACATTAGCTCATCTGTGTACAACAGCCAATACTTTGTGTGACCGTGCGGTTTTGGTGAAGTATAGTCGCCTTTAACATGAACATTTACTTAGTGAGTTTAGGGCATACATTGGACCACGCTCAACCTTTTCTGGCTAATTTGAAAGGTAGCTTTTCTTGACTTGTGGTCGCACTCCAAACAAAACAGCCGAACTGTCATCATAAATACTTATCTCAACGAATGAGGCGCTGAAGAGCGGAATGGGTAGGCTAGATCCAAGTCGAATGGAACCACCCTTATCGCTTGGACCAAGATGAACCGAAGGGGTAATCACCTGCGAGGGCCTATTGCATGGAATACAGGTGGCGATGTCAACAATTGTTCAGTACCTTTCTCATGACGGCAAATAGCAGTTGATATTTCGGTCTAGGTTAACCGGAGTATTTTGAAGATCCAGAGCTCCAGGGACGTGTCGGTGACTTGTGTCCGTAGTCCAGAACAATGAGCGGCAAACATGCGCTCAGTAAGTCTAAGCCGACTCAGGAAAAAGGGTTTTCATTGTATGGAGAAAGGCTAGAGATAGTTTTCCATGCTTATGAAGTCACTGACGCAGATGTGTGCAAATATAAACGATACCTAAATTTACAGCTAAGGCTTCAGATTAGTTTGAAGAAATAGAATTGTCCAGGAAAAGGTAAAGAAACTACAGAGGAGTAATGATAGACACACACACACACACACGCCTCAGCTACTGTGCCGCAATAGCTAAAAAAGGGGAATAGAATGCAACAGGTGTAAGCCAGCTGAGCTACCAGCAACGGATGGGCACCGTTCCGGTAAGCTACCTGCCGGCTACTATGCAGCAGAAAAAATAATTTGCTATGCAAAATTATAAAAGGCCAACTAGTGAGATCGTGATTGGAGCGGGAGGCTAAGAGGGATGGGTTGGGACAAAAAAACCCACAACAAGAACGTCACTGAGGTCGGCTCCTAGCCATATCAACAAGTGTATCCAGCCAAACGTGTTCACCGTCTTTTGGACCCCAACCAGCTCCAACTGAGGCCAGCTTCGAAGTGAGGGCCTTCATTCCTCTCGACCAAGTCACCGCTTGCCCATCCCTCCTTCCATCCACAACCCCGGCGCCCAGACAAAGCACGTTGCGGGAGTCGGTGGGCTGACATGCGCAACACATGGCCGAGCCATCGGAGTCTGGTGCGTGAAATAACGGTGCTGAGCGGTTCATTTACTTTTCCTGTGCTGTAAACGAGGCGTCGAACAGGCTCGTTGCTTACTCGGTGTTTCCGTGGGGATAGGCACACATACATTATTGATAACGACGGCGATATCCCAACTATTTTCAAATGACGTCCAGATATGAAGGCTGAAAACCAGGATGGTGAAAATATCAGTCGCAAAATGCACTCCAAACACCCCAATTTGTCTCAGAAAATGATTCTGAAACAAATGTGACATTCACCAGTGGTTGCTGAGTTCGTATAGCTTCGAGGAACTTGCGCAGAGTGTACCTGAGCTCAACTTCAGTAAGTTACGACGCACTGCACAATTAACAACTGAACCTACAGTCTCAAGCCGCAGTGAATCAAATGAGTTCTCCACAGGATACGGCTGTAGCTACCGCAACATGTCAATTGATGACCCTCTGTGACCATTGATAACGAAAAATGCGAGGCAGCTGACGAATTCACTTACTTCGGTCGCTGCATCAGCAATCACTGAAGTTAGTTCCCATATTGCAAAGTTAGAAGTGCCTTCTAGAATCTGCGACCTCTGTGGTGTCAGAACACGCTGCTTCGAAGTGTTACCAGTTCATATATCAGTACTGTTGTAAAGGGACATTAATGTGCAAGTAGGACGTGTGAGTTCCTAAGAATTTTAGCTAGGTGACAGGCATGGACTTAACTCCGAAAGGATGGACAACGGTGGGCGTCCGTCGCAAATGAGCGCGGAGCACCGGCTGTTTGTTAGTAGAGCCGCTTTTAGATACAGTGAACATCGAAGTGTCACCTCGTGTCCTCCGATAGCTAGCTAGCGATGGACCCAGATAGCTCATGTTGCCGTAAGTTACAAAGGGCGCGGTTCCATCCTGGGCTGTTACTCGCTATGGAGTACGTGCATCGGCTTTGGTAATGCTTTAGTACACTACTGTTTTTCCACGAGCTATACCTGGAGGCGTGCCAAGCGTCTCCCTCGATTGGCCGTCCCTTGCCAGAATTGACGGCTGATTATCAATCGGAACTCGAGGTCGCTGGCCTCCAACAGAGAGAGAAGACCGGATCGGACGAGCAGAGGAACAGGGTTGTATTAGCCAATCATACCGTTCATTATAAAGGTAAAATCGAAAGTTCGTGAATGGTATTTAAAGCTCACGTGGAAAACTCCAGAAGGTTCAACTTACGGCCAATCAAGTAATGCCACCCTCGTGTTAATTGGCCGCTTCACTCGGTTGGCTATCTGTTCGCCCCAATCCATGCGGGCGAGTTTGGCTCGCCTGCCATGCCTTGGCTCCGTAACGGTGATGGGCGCCTCGGTTGTTCGCTTAGAGTTTTCCTTCCTAACAGGTAGCCGGGAAAATTTATTGGTCCTCGATCAGACGAGCTTATCAGTATATCCGGCGAAATGAACAATCGCTCTCTTCTCCTAATGACACTCAGCTGTAGTGGAATGGTATCTTGACCGCCGTGTGTGACGCGGGAGCCTATAATTGTGACACTACACTGTCACCGCACCAGTCGCTGGATATCCTAGAGGTAGATGGACCTGTCGAAATCCAGAAGAGAAGTTCCGGCTGGTTGTGAGCACAATGTGATTGTACGTTGTTGACTAGGTGTTGGCGTCGTGACCTTGAATGTCTTCTTTAAACATTTGGATTTTACGTCAGGTCCCTTTTTCCAAAGGTTATTATTCTTCGTTTTGTAGGTCATTGTGGTCGTATGGCAGCGAAGCATCAATTCAAATGGCTGATGTACTGCTGTTTATGATGACTTCAACTGGGTTTTCCTCAAGACAAAACCACTAAGTTTAAAATAGTTGAGAATATCTCTAGCTTGGGCTGTAGTTGTGGGTTTTGCATTGATCTCTGAGCTGAATTACTACTTTGCAGACGTTTCATTGCTAGATTAGGCGACGTCGGCAGTGCGTCTTCAAAGACCTGTTTTAGTGGAGCCGCGTAAGCAACCCCAAGATCCAGATGCTTAATGATCGAGTTCTGCTTTGAATACCAGGCTACAAGAAATACACTTGTTTGTTGGTTTGCGACTTCCGACGATTTTGACGTGCTCCAAGTCGAATTGGTAGTTTTCGTCATCCATATGCATGGACATCAAGGAGTTCCGATCGTGACGGTGAATGGTTAGACTATGTTCATGCCGTGTGCCAAGCTTTCCTACAGTTTGTCAAAGTTCGGCAAAAGATCTTGCAGGTCGCAACAGATGCTTTCTCCTTGCCAAGTCTATCCTTTAGTTTGAGGTTTACTTAGAACTGTCTGTTGGCTGCTGGGTAGTCCTGACTTCAAAGGACAATAAAAGTCTCACTGCCATTTCAGATTCCGTGGATCTAAGACAACACGGCTCTCTTTGCAAGTGCTGCATCCGTTGAAGTGTGTTGCTATATGTGGGGCCAGGCAGCGCAAAATAAAGACTTTTGGGTACCAGTTCCGTTTGAAACGGAGGAAGAGACGGTCTTTCTCTGCCTGCCTTAGCTGCGGCCTGCTCATTTGAAAAAAGTTAGTAAGCATCTGCGCTTGTGTACTGCTGGATGATTATTGCTGCACATGAGGATCCGGTCCGTATGTGTTGATTTTCGATGCGCTGTCGTTCCCCGTGGTCCAAAACTAGTCCTTCGTGTGAGAACATCTAAAAATGACAATTGCTTGTTGTTCTCTTCTACCCTGGAGAATTGGATTTCGTCGAACACATTGTTAATTAGCTCATGCAGTATTTATAATTCGAAAGACTTAAGGATGACGAAGGTGTCGCGATTGGGAGCGCTATCCATTCTAGCTCCTGCATCACCGATTCGAATACTAACGCAGAGATTTGCGATCTCATTGGCGTGCCATTGTTTATGAAGTTGACCGTTGAAAGTAAAACGTGTCGGCATAAAATTCCAACAACTCTACCATTTGATAAGCAGGAGTGAGGATTTTGTTATAATTCAACTAATTCATCATTGTCACTCCCAATCAGCAGGCTTAGGTTAGTCTGGAAAAGCATCAGACGCCGGCGTTTCGACCTTCTGGGTCTCGTCAGTGGTGTGCCCCCCAGCGGACCCCTGCCGAGTTCCGCACCCATGACTTCAGGATGCCAGCAGCTAGTGCAACTTCGCCATGGGTGACAGCAGCGGACCTGCGTAACTGACAGTTGACTATGTCCTATAGCTTGTAAGTCCTATGTGTTACATAGGCGCAATGCTGAAAGTCCTAGCTCGTGAGGTTAGCCATTGTCCTCTGCACAGTTCGTAACTGGCATGACAGTGGAAGATGAGCTGGGCTATATCATAGTAAACTGTCAAGCACTCAGGTCCGCGACTGTCACCTATGGTGAAGTGCGGCTAGCTGCTGGCATCTTGAAGTCATGGGTGCGGAACTCGACAGGGGTCCGCTGGAGGGCGCATCACTGACGAGACCCAGAAGGTCGAAACGTCGGAGTCTGGTGCTTTTTCAGACCAGCCTAAGCCTGCTGATGAAGAGTGAGAATGATGAATTAGCTGAAGTGTAGCAAAATCCTCACTAATACTCAGCAGTAATATAAAATATGCCCGTTTCGCTCCTAAGCCCTATGTGATACATAGGCCTAATGCGGAAAGTCCTAGCTTGTCCTCTGCACAGTTCGTAACTGGCATGGCAGTGGAAGGTGAGCCGCGCTAGAATATACTTACATAGTGTTAAATAAGCGAAGTACAACAACGAGCAATACTTGTAACTAATGGTGCGCAGACATGAGTTTTCCCCCCGACAGATTTGCCAACAAGTGTCATTGCTCGCGAAATTTCAGGCTAAAATAGAAACGCACATGGAGTTACTCGTTGATCCAATGTAAATAGGCTTCGTAAAACTGGCCTTGTATACGAAGAGGTAGATGATATTCGAATTGCCTGGCCAATAGAGACCGGGCTATTTTACTGTGTCAAAAGGGTGAAGAACTAACCGAACCGGATGATGTATAATCGAGTTTTCCGTTAAGAGGCACCCTGAAGCAATCATGGGAATCGGTACCGCCATCACTTCAAATGCCCCCAGTGGACCCTATTGCACTGAATGGATATGATAGAAATAATCGCATTACAGACGCGTAAAGATTACATATGAGAAACAGAGAAGTGAAAACAAAATTTGTTGTAACGTGTGATACATGAGTGACGAGAGAAAACCACAAACATGTTCCATTAACCGCCATGACGAAGTATGTAAGGAAGTGAGGTAAACAATAGTGGAAGTAAGGTTGTAAAGCGCTCACAGACTGGTAGATACCAACTCAGCAAGAACTTACCCGATGAATCTGGTTAGCGAGCTCTCTTGTAGGAGAAAGGACAAGAACTTGGGTTTTCCGTATTTCCCCTGAGATCCTCTGGAGTGAGCCAATGCTATAAGTTGCGGTTTTACCAGTACCGTTTTGGGCCCTAGACTAAAAAAAGAATACAACCGACAGTACTGTACAATGATATCTTTGCCGTCGATTATTGGACGAATGGACTTCTGTTGAATCAGTGAGGGCCGCTCGAAGCCTGGAAAAATTGCGAAACCAGTTCAGAAACAAACCATAGTTGTAGATGCCTTTCAACAACTCCGGTCTGATACCCATCTCAGTGAAGCTCCCGTAGGTGGTTACATAATCAGAATGTTGGATATCAGCTTCCGTCAGGTTAGAAGCATGATCCATAGCTCCGACATAGCTGGAAATAACGGAACGCTGTAAGAAATATTGAAAGATTGATTGACATAGACTTACGTATCGCGATTCTGAATTAACCAAAGATACAGTCACCCTGTTGATGCCTTTGACCCCGTTGATTACTAATCGCGACGAGATAAGACGTTAACTTGGTGCGATGGTTCGTGTGCTACAGCGACCCACTGAACCATGCTGGGTGGTATTTTGCGCATCTTCAAAGCCACTCATACCAGATTGGTCAGTGGTTAGAGGCCAGACAAACTCAGCCTACTCCAGGTTTGGGAGTAGAATGAGGGTGGCGCCTTGCTCCATAAAACGGACTCTGTAGCCCAGCATCGAAACCCCGCTGCCCTGCAGTCAAGTTTTTGAGCCAACGGCTTTGGTCCAGAATCACGTCTATTCAAGTATCCAGTTCTAGACAACCTGACAATATCCTGCCTGCGCAATGCAACTGCATGAATTTCTCTAAACATGATTGCTCGACGCTCTGGCCATCGCAGAGGAGAATAAATGGCGCCCTATCTGCTGTACTGAGCAAGGTAGATAGGGGTAAGGATGCTACTGCATAAACCTTCCCGTCCTCTTATACCCCTTCCGCTTTTCATTCATATCGTCACGCTCCAAGTTCATTTTTATCATTCGTGTTTTCAAGACCAATTATTAGCCCAGCCACATCTTGTTTCAGTGGTCGCTTGTCTTCTAGTTTAGACTCGCGTAATTGCACTGCGTCACCCCAGTCCAGTCGACAAGTTCACGTCCAACCAAGCGGACACAATGTCAGTTCATCGGTTTCTCTTTGGAGCCTCTGATCTGCGCTAAGACTGGCATGCCACAACGTGCGCACTTTGCTGCTCATTGGTCAACAAGCAGCACTTGCCCGAACACTAGAGGCGTTGTCGATCGACACTGATGCTTATCGGAAAATCGCCTGCAAAATGCGAGTTCCGTGTTTACGCTGCAAACCTCCACAAACGACACTGATAACATGTATTCATTGCGTTTGTCTAGACATAACGCAGCTTCAAATACTGGTCAAGCTGCTATGGGCATTGCCCTGAGTCCCCACGCTGAAGCGGCTCTGGTTGAATGGATCCTAATGAACAGCCGAGTATGTGCCGTCAGACTGGCTGGATCGTTAAAAGCTTCGAAGTCGCGGGTAGAGGAAAGGTGTCTTTTCAGCTAATTCATCATGGTCACTCTCCATCAGAAAGCTTAGGCTAGTCTGGAAAAGCACCAAACACCGGCGTTTCGATCTTCCGGGTCTCGTCAGTGGTGCGCCTCCCAGCAGACCCCAGCCGGGTTTCGAGTATGACTTCAGGATGCCAGCGGCTAGTGCCACTTCGTAATGGGTGACAGCCGCGAACATGCATGATTGACAGTTGACTATGTCTTGCTCATTGCGGTGTATACCCCTACAAACTGTAGCGCTGATTTGGTGAAAGATGAATTTTATCACTAATTGAATGCACTTCATCATTACAGTAATAGTGCGCATAATGTGTTGACTGGCGATCTGAACCCCCACGTTGGAAAACTGTCCACTGCATCTGGGTGGCCAACATGGTGTAGTCTCCTGTAATAAAGGTGAACAGATGCTACGCCTGTGTGGAAATGCTCGGCTGTTTCTCGCCAGCACTAACTTCCGACACATGCAGAAGGGTGATATGGAGTCCACCTGCCTCAAACCAGCCATGGACGCAAATCGACCACATTTCGATAAGCTACCGCTGGATAGACTGTCCAAAAATGTTGCACATCTTACAGCACCAGCGTGGACTCTGATCACGCCCTCGTTTGTGTTGATCATAGAGTTCACTTCAGTGGGCACATGCCACGAGGCTGAAAGTATCATCATTCATCACTACACACATTAGCTAGAGGTGTAAAACACCTCAGCTACTGTGCCGCAATACCTAAAAGAAAAAAAGAAAATATATGCAACAGTTGCATGCCAGCTGAGCTACCAGCAACGGATGGGCATCGTTCCGCAAAGTTACCAGCCAGCTACAAGGCAACAAAAATATTTTATGTAAAATTATATTATGCTACGAAATGATATGGTGTTTGGAGGGTAGGCTAAAATGGATGAGGAGAGACAAAGAAACTCACAGCATGAATGCCACAGAAGTCGGTTCCTAGCCATGTCAGCAAATGTATCCAGCCAAACGTGTTCACCGTCTTTTGGACCCCAACCATGGAGCCATGACGCTCCAACCGAGGCCAGCTCCGAAGTGAGGGCCTTCAAACCTCTTGACCAAGTCGTCGCTTGGCCACCTCTCCTCTTCTTCCATCCACACCCAGGGCGAGCAAATAACGCATGTCGCTGGAACCGGTGGGCTGGCATGCGTAACATTTGTCCGAGCCATTGGAGTCCGGTGCTTGATATGACGGTACGGAGCGGTTCAGCTCCTTTACCTGTGCCGTAAACAAAGCGTCGAACACGTACGTTGCTTATGCGGTGTTCCCACCTGATGTGAGCCAAACTGCAAAGGCACCGGTGGGTCGTCGAACGTAACTAGCCACTTTATGTCCGCTGATCTAAAAACCCAGGTTTCGCAACCGTACAGAAGGGTCGAATGTACCGTTTCATTGTACACACTACCATTCAGGGCGAGAGTGAGGTCGCGCCGCTGCCATAGGTGGCGAAGGCTAGCAAAAGCACTTTGAGCTTGTGATATACAGTTCGTGATCTCATCTTCGATCCCGAGGGTGCTGATACAAGTTCCCAAATAGCTGATCCCCACCAAAGGTCAACGATAAAGGAGATTTCTGCCAGGCTTGGAGGAAAGCTTTGAAGTTCGATGGTGTAAAGCAAACCCCGACACGACTGACAGCCAGTGCTAATCTGTCCAGTGTAGCTTGGCACGTCTGGGAGCTGTCAGATTACGGCAATATCGTATGCATACTCCAAGTCAAGAATTCGTTCTCCTGGAATAGCACCACACATTCTAACTCGTGTCTTGTGAGCGCGATTTTCATGACTTCGTCAATAGCGAAGTTGAAGAGGAAAGGTGACAAGGAGCATCCTTGTCTCATATCGCTGGAGATACTAAAGGGCGGCGACAACTTGCCGTAGGCCCTCACTCTGCCCGTGCTACGCGCCTACAGTGCGCGGAAAAGATCTACATATTTCGCTGGCACACCTTTCCTGAGTAGACAATCCCAAAGTGCACATCAATCAATCAAATCGAAGGCAGCTTTAACGTCGAGGAACATGATAACGGTGGGCCGCCAATATGTGTGACGCTGCTCCAACAACTGACGCAAAGTGAAGATGTGGTCAATGCAGCTACGATACCGATGAAAGTAGGATTGCTCGTCACGAACCTGGCTTTCACGAACGCCAGTCAGTCTGTGAAGGATTACAGAGGCAAGGAATTTAGAGGCGATGGGGATCAGACTGATTCCTCTATGACTGTCACATTCCGAAGGCGAGCTTCCTTTGAAGATCGGAACAATAACGGAGCGGCTCCAATCGCTTGGGACAATTTCAGGCCCTCACAGTTTCACTAGTAGTTCGTGTAAATCATCAAAAAGAGCAGGGTCGCCGGATTGAAGAGGACTGGAGGAAGATGATCTGGTACCACGGCTTTGTTCAACTTCAACAGTCCGATCGACTTCTGAGCGAGAGGACGGATCAAAATGGACAGTCCAGGAAGCAATGAGATCACTGGCCGGTGAGGAATCTAACAATTCCGACCGATTGAATTGCTTTACAAAATGCTCACTCCAACGCTCCAAACGTATTGACACGTTGTAGATGGGATGTCCGCTCTCCTCATAAATTGTTTCACTAACGCCAGGTCTCCTACTGCCCGTCTCCCGTATCAGACGGAATAACTAACGATGGTTACTAAGGGCAGCGGCCACTTCCATCTCTGAAGCACGATGAGATCACAAGGATTCGCGGTCTTTCTTCAGGCTAGCACAAAGTTTTGCCCGGAGCTCTTTGTGAGCTTCATTGTGTTCGCCTTCAGTCGGGATATGCCAGCGAGCATCGATAAGTTCCAGAGACCGCGAAGACCCAATGTCCATGTTGGCCATTACACTAACCACATGAAGATTTGCCTGCTGCTAGTAAGGTCTGGTGAACATATGACCAGTGATCTTCAATTGTCTCCAGTGAGCACTTACTCAATTCGCATATCAGCGTACTTTGATAGGCATTCAGAACAGCTGGCTTCGCCAGTTGGCTGGTGTCAATGCGCTCACAGCGTCGTCGTGCGCGTCCGCCAAAGCGCATCCGCATGTCAACACATAAAAGTGCATGGTCGGTGTCCACACATGTGCTCCAAATCGAGAGACAGTTGCGGATGCAGCCTCTCCAGCGGCAACGGATGGCAATGTGATCAATCTGTGTCCAACGCTGGTGGGCGCTAAGTTATCCTCCAGCGAGTGCTGTGTTGGAAGTTAGTGCTCGAAGGAAATAAGCGGGCATCTTCACACAAATGAAGTAACCGCTCACCGTTATCGTTTCGGGAGCCTACACCGTGCTGACCGCCCAGATGCATTTCATCAGTGGACAACTTCCCAACTTGTGCGTTCAGATCCCCAGCCAGCACAACACTCTGTGCTTCTTCTGTGGCGAAGGAGCTCGTAGAGTTGGCGGTAGAAGTCATTTCCTACCGAAACATTGCTAGAGTTTGTGGGTGCATAGGCAACGATGACGAATAGACACCTGTTAGTCCCACGCGACTTCGCAGCTTTGAACGAGTCAGCCAATCGGACCGCACATATAAGCCTACTGATTGGAATCCAATCAACCAGAGCAGCTTCAGCCAGGGGACTCAGGGCAATGCCAACACCAGCTTGGCCGGTGCTCGAAGCTGCATCGTCACCGGATACGCGCGATGAGAAAATACTGCCGGTGTCACCTGAAGGTGATCGCAGAATGAGCACAGAGCTTCAGTCTTGCAGGCAGGTCTCCAATAAGCAGCAGATATCGATCGAGAGGGTCTCTGACGTTCGGGCAAGTGCCACATGTTGACCGATCTGTAGCATTGTACGTAAATTGAGGAGGAACGAGGGCTCCAAATGGAGGCCGATGAACTGGGGTGGACAGCTTGGTTGGACATGGGCTTGCCAACAGGGCATTAGTGACGCTCCGCGTTTGTATGAGTTG